GCCCCCAACAAAGTTACTCACCCAGTCGACCCTACAACACTGCCAAGTACCCCTGCACCAGCAGGATTTTGCAGTCTGTGACCCATTCGCGCCACGCAGAGACTACAGGCCTGGGGGGTCCAGGACCCAAGCGGTGTCCTTTGTCACATAGCCATCTGCCTCCTCGATCCTCAGAAATCCTAGCTGTTATCCTGACTCTTCGCACAAAGCGCGGGGCCCGCGTGTCCTTGAAGTCCCCGACTTGAGTCTCAGTGGCTCACTCAGTGGCTCGGTGGGATGATGGACACGAGTCGCCCCCTACCTCCGGGGCTAACGGGGAGGGCCGCTGAGAGGTCCCACCTGTCCCCAGGCCAAGGGCCTTGTGCTCAGGTTCTGTCATCGTCCAGAGAGCCCCAGGTGTGAGGGTCCCGCCCCCGACCCCAAAGAAAAGCACACGGGGCAGGGGGTTTGATCATTAAATAAAATGAAATGAAACAGGAAAAACCAGTTGCCCAGTGGGGCGGTTGCCCTCTGGCTCATGGTCATATTCGTCCTCCGGCCAAGTTCAGGAGCTGGTGACAGAGGGAGCCTACGCGAGGTGGAGGGGGAGAGAGGGGACCTGAGCAGATTTGCAAGCCCGGAAGGTGACAGTCACTGAGGCAGGCAGGTATACCGAGACGGAAAGGCGAAGAGTGGGGCTCCCAGGCCCGCCTCCTCCCTGCGGGCCATCTCCCCCCTCAACCCCACCCTAGATGGAGAGGCGTGGCTGAGTGTGGGTCACGGACTGCAGGGTGGTCTGCAGATCGGACGGACCACCCCCTCCACCCCCTCCACCCCCCTCGTAGTTTCTTTTGGGGCATCTCTTACCGGTGCCTAGTGCGTCCCTAGGTGGACCTGAGCGCACCTGTGGTCCTTGGGGAGAGTGGCGGGGGGGGTGCGCTCCCCGTCGTGTGCTGCAAACTGGGGAGTGGGCGACGGCAGCTCAGCGGGCAGCTCACAGGCTTCAGGGGTCGTGGACTTCCCTCAGGGCTCAAGAGATCGCTCCAACCTTCCAGCGTCCGCGAGGTGGGGAAGCTCCACCCCTGCTCCCCAGCCTCC